TTGTCATTGTCGATTGGCTCCCCCGCCCCCTCCTCCCCCCCCTCCTCACTCACAACTCTGCGGGTAAACTTTCGAGTCGCTTCTCTCTTCTTCCCGCCGCGCTTATCGCTAGGGACTTGGACGACATTCGTTTGCAGGTGACAGGCATGGGTCACTGGCCAAATGGACGCCACAAATGCTACACTGGGAGAAAAGAGTAGGGCTTCGGCAAAATTGTTTTTTCGCTTTTTTCGTAAATATCCCTCAATTAGTGAAGCTTTTTGCATTGAAGAATCTACTTTGAGACGGTTTTTCATCAATTTATTAAAAAATCTTGCATGTTGCATTTTATTTCTACAACATGGAAGATATTTGGACAATTGAAAGAAAACAAGTTTTGGATTGAAAAAGAAGTTTTCCTAAAACTAGATTTTCATTCACATTTCAATATTCTGCCTTTCTTTTCCTATTTGAACATCAAACTCTTGGCTTATTTTCGCTCAGTGTAATTGCGAGTTCGGAGTTTGGAGTTATCGACAAAGGTGCTGATAAGGGAGACGACACTGACTATATGTGTGTGTGTGTGTGTGTGTGTGTGTGTGTGTGTGTGTGTGTGTGTGTGTGTGTGTGTGTTTGGGTGTGCGGCACAAGTCGACCCCAGATGCGACTGTCTAGTCCACAGTTCGGTTGAGTTGTGGGCGAGATTCTCTATCTAAACTGAGCTACAGCAAAAGCTATCCACAGTTCTTTCTTTTTAAGTTCTAAATATTAATTTACTTATTTTCTTCAAATTTAAAAACCAAATTTTAAATTTGTCAATACTTCTTAATATTATTTTGATTATTTATTATTTTAGTTTTAAAGTAAGTTCAGGCAGAGCCTAGAAAATACTTATAGTTCGAGCCGAACGAGCCTTAACTTTAAACCGCCCATTTTCCACGCAGTGCGGTGGAGTAAAGCAAGTCCCACGGCTCCCATCAGCTTACACTCGTTTTTTTGAAATGAGTTTTGGGCGCGTGGCAAGTGTAAATAGGCGAATATATCTGGCAAGCTTTTTCCCCCCTGTTTTCCACGCTTGCGGGTGGAAATGTTTGCAAATCCCGTCATTGCGTGTAATTGCCTTTCGGCTTCAAGTCGAACTTATGTAATTACGCATTTAAATGAAGAATTCAGTTGCCCGAATGCAAAGCCCGAGAGTGCCATCATTTAACAATAATTACACGCTCTTGACTCTCATTTGATTTCACTTTTGTTTTGTGAATTTACAGCCCACCAAAAAAATATAGATATAGACGAATTCTTTTGTTTTCAGCGCAGTTTGCAAGAAATTGTTTTTGTTGGATTTTCTTCATTTTTTTCTTCTTCTTTTTTTTGGTAGCATCAAATTTTCCACTTGGTAAGCTTTTTTTTTTTTAATTTTTTATACTTACGTGAGTAGAAAAAAAAACGTTTCTTTTCTTTTTTTATTGCACAGCTCGGCGAATTTGGTTTCTCGCTCTCTCGCTCTCTCGCTCTCTCTCTCTCTCTCTCTCGCTCTCTCTGTCTCTGTTTATTTTTTTTTTTACTTATTTTTTTTTATTTTTTGGGGCAGTTCGTTGACGTTTTGTGTGAATTATTTAAATTGCAGCTTGCTGCATAAATTTGCAATGTTGCAGTTGCATTTTCATCGCGCTGGCGTTTTAAATATGCAGATTCGTTTTTAAAAACAAATATTATGAAAATTAAAACTCTTTTCATTTCAATTCGCTGTTGTTGTTGTTGCTGTTGTTTTTGGCACTGGCATTTGCATAATGCACTCGGGCGCTCACTCAATCATTCGTGCACTCGTTCAGGCGGTCATTCATTCATTTAACAACTCGCTCAAGCTGTTGTCATGACAGCTGCCCCACACTCACCCCCCCCCCTCCCCTCCCTTCGCACACTCCACGCCCCCCTTTCTGTTCACCCACAACGTATTCATGTAAATAACATGAAATTCAGCCGAGCGCACAATGCAAAACAAATTGAAAAACTTTACAAAAAAAAAGTACAAAATAATATTAATAATAGCAGAACATTTTTGAAATTTCTGACTTTTTATTTTCTTTATACCCTGCATTTCGTTGGGTAAGGGTAGGGAAATTTGATTGGAAGGCTTTTATATTCGATTCGGGACTTTAATTTCTTAATACATTTGAGAACTCGGAATATATACATACATACATATGTACTTATATATGTATATATATGTACATGCATATATATATACACACGACCGAGTACATCCTTGTATTAACACATTCAAGTCCCGTTTACAGGGCATCGGCTAGTCGTGCACATACAAGTGCATGCTTGCTTATCTTGCGGTATTTTATGCGCGTTTTGCTGGCGACTTTTGCAGCGCCTTTTTTTTGCATTGGCACCGAAAGCAAGCGAAGCGCAGTCGCCGTCGCCGTCGCCGCTGCCGTCGGCGTCGCAGTCAGCAGCGCCACTAACTGCATTTGCTTATGACTTTGGTTTGTTCTCTTCATTTTACAGTTAATAAACGTTAACCGCAAATGGCCCGCTGCTGGCCCCCTTTAACGGTGCCTTTCAACTCTGTTGCAAGTGTCGAGAGATCCCTCCCCTCCCCCCCATCCCCCTTCGCAACCCCTCTGCTCCAGCTGGGTTGTCGCATGTGTTGTAAAATTGATTTGCTAATGATTTTAGATGACATTAATTATGCGCCGAAAGTGTTGGAAAATGTAGAACAAATTCAACACATGTAGCTGAGGCCCAATACAGATATTTTCACACACACACACACACACACACACACACGCCCCTCTATGCATGTGTGTGTATTGGGCATTTAATTTATTTTTAGAAAGTTAATCACATGCCGAACACTTCGCCGTCCCATGGGACAGTTTCGGGGCATTCGGTAAGATCTTGAGTGCGTGGCACGCACTTTAGAAACAACTTTCAGGTAGTTTACTTAATAGAATCATTAACTAATTTAGTAGATAATTGTCTGTCCTAAAACGCACACACACACACACACACACACACACGCATACTTCCGGCCCAGCTTTTTCTTTAGGGGCGTGTCTCTGAGTTGTGCTTAAAAGTCTTTTAAGTCAAAAAAAAAAAGAGGTGAACACAATTCTTTGACAGGTGCTGCAAATCGTTATCTTGCTACCTGATTGAGTTATTAAACTAAATGTTATCTATAAGTTATCTATAAGTTATCTATTGGACTGGTTACTCGGCAAAATTGTGCGAAATTGGAATTGTTTAACTACTTTAATCGGCATTTTACAAAATTTATGTTTTTTAACTGAAAACGGCAACTCTTTAAAATATAAATAAATTCATTTACTTTTAATTATATAGTTCAAAAGTTGTACTTAAGAAAACTTTAGAATGTCAAGCTTTGAATAATCTTTGAGCCAATCTTTAAAAGACTTCTTATATTAAGTTATTACTTATTTCTAAAAGCATTTCCAACACGGCATCCAATCAGTCGAAGTACACCAATATCTCAGTTTTTCCCCAATAATACTGATACGATCTTTGAACGTATGTCTAAGGCACATTACAAGTAATCCCTGTCTGTTAAGATCTGCCAAGTTTTCACCTGAAATAGGCTTTATATGGGCTAATAGCTTCCACACTTCCACCTGGAATCCATTTCTGAAGATCTTAAGATATCGATACCATGGAATTCATGTGGCTTGAAAAGCTGACCACATTTGCCCCGAAGATACGCAATTTTGGACACAAATAAAATGTATTCAAAAAAGAGGCGCTTTATTGGAAATTAAGCCCAGAATTTGCTGTGGCCAATCTGTGCATCGGCTGTGCTGAGATTGTTAAAAGCAAATCTTAACTGAGTCAGAGAGTCGCAGGGGAGATACCACGACGCGGCGCAAACGGGTTAAATAACGTGACTCAGAGAGTTGGCATTGTCAGTAGAGTACCCCCTCCTCACCACCCCTCGTCCCTTGCCTAACCTGCTGCTGATCCGCTTCAGTGCGCGCTGCACACCACACATTAAAACTAGGCGAGCAACAACAATTTTCAAGTTGGGAATTTTAATAAAATTCAAAGACATGAACTTTTATTTGGTGCAATCAATTTTGCATTTATTGCAAGAAAAACAAAACGCAAGAGAAACAAAAATACACACACACACACACACATACGAACACACTGAATTCAGCACACAAAACACAAACAAAACAAATTTCTGGCAGCGACGGAGGCAGCGCTGCCAGCGGCATAAGCAAAGCGCAAAACGCAAATGCTGCGACCAGCAATAATAACAAAAACAACAACAACAACGCGTTCCCTTCTTATTTTGGTTTTTCTTTTTTTTTTTTTTTGGTCTCTTTGATAATTTCAGTTAATTATTGTTTCATAATATTATATAACATTTGATTGTCATTTAATTATTAAGCTGCCAAAAAAAAAAACACAAATTAAAACAAACTGAGCAGCAAGAAATAAATGTAATATGTGTAAAGCACAAGCTATTAAAACAGTTTTGCTCAACGTAACAAATCGTATTTGGGTTTTCTTTTTAGTTAGCTTTATGTTTTTGTATTTTATTTTATTTTTAATTTTTGTTTGCTTTGCACACAAACGTTAATTTTGATCGGAATCGCCAACACACGCACACACAAACAACTGCAACAACAAGAAAAACAACAACACAAAAACAACAGAAAAAAAATAGACCAACCGCACGCTGCGCTCACAAAATTTCGTCCGTCGCCTGTGGAACGTAAAACACAACTGAGCTAACCGAAGCCGGCTGTGGCCGGCCGATAGCAGCCACAGTGGCAGCGGCAGCGGCAGCGACTGCGGCAGAGGCAGAGCCAGCGAAGCTTGTGCTCGTGCGCTCATATTCGTGCGCTCTTAAGTGTCCAATGCACACTGGGCTGCTCCCAGCAATGTATTTGTCGTATATTGAAGCCTTCAGTAACAAATGGCATTACATATTTGCTTGCAAATGTAATCTATTTAAAATATAATCCACCTGAGCAATTTTTATAGGGAGGCAACATATAAAAATTCATACATTTGATTATTTATACTTGTTTTTCGTTGCAAAATAGTTAGAAATGGCAAGAAAATTTTGCGATAATAAAGTGCATATGGGTTGACTAACAAAAAAACACAACAACTTATTAGCGACTTTAATCAGTTACGATCAAACGACTTCTAGACCAGTGTGCATTGGGACGCGCTTGTTGTTGGTGCTTCTTTTGATGCTGTGTGAGCGAACGAGTGTGCGTGTGTGGAACGAGTTGGCCGTTGGCGTTCATCGCAATCGCTGTCGCTGCGTTGGCAGCGGCTGCGCTGCCCACATTGGAGTTAGAGTTGGTGCTTTGCTTGTTGTTGCTGCTGCTACCGCTGCCGCTGCTGCTGTCGCTGTCGCTGCTACTACTGTTGTTGCTGCCGCTGCTGCTGCATGTGAGCAAATTGCGCAAATCGCATGCGTTTTTTAATAGCTGCAGATCGCTGCGCGTTGATTGCGTATGCGTGCCATATGCGTAAGGGAACGCGTAAGCAACTGCAGCCGCAAAAACAATTTGCCACGCATTGCAGCAGGTCGTGTGATCGAAATCAACAAAAAACAAAGGCAACTAATAATAACACAAAACAACAAACAAAGCGTCCGCATTGTTTTTGGTCAACCGCATTGCGGACGCGCATAAAACGCGTGCGTTTTACAACACATGCGAGCGAAAAATTATAAAAAAAAAAAACAACTATTAAAAGACCAACTGCACTGTGCGCAAGTGAAGCTCCCCACAGCCTAAAACAGACGGCCACGTCGTTGCGGCCCGTTGCCCCCGTAAGCCTCCTACACTCAAGTACACATAAACATATCTACACGCACATATACATACATATGTATGTGCATAGTTGTGCATGCATAAAGAAGTGTAAGTATGTGCTTATTTAAGTGTTACACTGTCAAGCAACATATTGTTAACTATCAGACATACAGTTTAAACAACAGGCCAAGCCAAGAACAAAAGTTAATTCTTTAATTGAAAATGTTTGATTATCCCCAAAGTACCCTTAAATAAATGAAGAAATGAATACTTATACATCCAAGTGTACAAATCATTAAAAAAAATGGTATTTAGCATTGAAATCGCTTTGATTATGTTACGTGTTGAGCTGTGTAAAACGCGCCCAATTCTGCTGACGTCGCTGCTGTTGGCCAAAAAGCTTAGCGAAGCGTGCGAAGCAGAAGCAGCAGCAGCAGAAGCAGCATTCACAGACGCAGCAGCGAGAGAGCGGCAGCGCGCAAGAGAGTGGGAGCCAATGAAGATCGTTTTTTGGCGCTGAAGGCGGCTGCCAAGGAAGTGAAGCATGTGTGTGCTAGCGAGCAGACGTGCCTATGTACATATGTATGTGTGTGCTCGTCTTTAGCATTGTCTTGGCAACTTGAACGTGGGAGAGCCCTTCGCCAAGCTGCTTTACAGTTTTGTTCTTGTTGCGGCCTTTGTTCATGCCGTTGTTATTGTTGTTGTTGCGCTGGCCTCGACCGATCAAGCGAGCAAGCGATCGACCAGCTGTTGCTTTGTTTTGACTAGAGCAGCAGTGTTTCAAAGATACAGAGAGCGAGAGAGAGAGAGAGAGAGGGGAGAGCGCGCAGGAGTTACCGTTTTGTCGGCAGCTATTTAGCTGGCATATATAACAATTTATCCGCAAGAGAATGCGAGGTAGCTCACAAATAAATCAAAATTAATGCCACACAATTATTAATTAAAATAATTAATGTGCCAGCTTCGGGAACTGGCGCTTAGAAAGCTTTGAGCTGGGCCCCATTCACAGTTTGGCGGGATGCCAATTATAATTCACAATTCTTGGCCATTTGGCAATGGCAGCCAGTGCGAGGGATTTCGCCTTTAATTACATATGCAAAGCCCGCAGCCGATAAGCAGCACACACACACACACGCACATATGCAGGGTGGCCGTGGGGGAGGGGGAGGGGAGGGGGGCAGCATAAACGCGACAACATGTGCTCACAATTGCATGTGCTGTCCCTGTTCCACTCACTCTCTCTCTCGCTTCCTCTCTCGCTCTTTGAGCATATATTGTACACAAATTGAAAAACTATTGACAAGCCCAGCGACCAGCTCACCCCCCCTCGCGGCCCATCTACCCAGCTGACGACGGGTCCTGCGGCATTATCACATGCGATAAATATTTATATGGAAATGTAATGACTATACCTCCCCCCCTTCTATCTCTCTCTCTCGCTCTCTTTCTCTGTTGCACTACAGTCGCTTCGTTTTGTCTCGAACGTCGCGCAATTAATGTCACCACATCCTTTGGGCCTTATTAATGTCCTTGGGCCTTATGCCGTCTGGTCGGGCTGGCCGGGGCGTTGGGGTGGTTGGCCCATTAATGTCGACCCCATCGCTCCGGTAAAAACAATTAATTTGCCCATAATGCAATTTATATCGGTTTCGGTTTTGGTCTCGGTCTCGGTTTCGGGTTGGAGGCCTTGGCCCATAGTCCTTCTGGTCCATTGGCTAACGCATATCCTGTGAACAGACTCTGGCTCCCGCCTTCCGCCTCCCGCCCCCTGCCTCCTGCTCCGACTCCGACTCCGTTTGCTTGCTCGGTTGGCCACATAATGTGCATATTTCTGGTTGCTGCTGCGTTGCTTTTTAAGGCCAAATGATTAATTATTAAAACGGCAACAATTCGCAATAAACAATAAGCACAGCCACGGGCGCAGCGCCGGCAGCGACCGCAAAGTATTTAGAGACGCCGCTTAAAGTCGCCTGGAATCCTTGACAGATTGCTTACTTATAGACGGACAAAGGATTCACGTACTCTGGCCACTTGTAGCTACCCCTCCCCACCCAGATTCCTCTGTTCCAAAAGCCAAAATGTTTACTTTACAAAATATTTAATTCATAACTATTTAAAGAATAGAAGTTTTTTATTTTTATTTTATGCACTTAGGAGCACAACTTTTGTTGAAAGCTTTGAGTTCCCTCTGCTAGACGCTGTTTTTTTGCATGCTCTAGAACCTGTTGGGAATTTTAGTCAAAAGCGTTTTCACACTCTTAAAGCTTTCGGCTGCATGTGCTTGCATCTCTTAAGTATGCACAATTGCAGCAACAGTATAAAAAGCCTAGAAGCGCACCATGAAAAACGTTACTCAAAAGCTTGAAAGCAGCTTTTGCATTAGCGCATCGAGCTTTCAATTAAAGCTGGAATAGGAAGCATTTGGAGCCGCTTAAGTGAACTTGTTTTCAATGTTCTTCAATTTAATATTCCTTTTTAAAAACATTCATTTAAGCTATAAATAACACATATGCATACACACATGTGTATAGAAAGCTCTCCTGAGCGGACTTCTGAGGTTTTAGGTCGAGTTAAACGGCAAACGGCAAAAAATAATACAAATATAGGAAAGATCACAGATCCTCGATTGTTTTCAAGTTTGTTGCTCACATTTTTTCACCCTTGTACAGGGTATTATAAATTTGGCACGGAATATGTCACGCATCATTGTTTATCAAGATATCTTAACTAACCCCAGCATTTACTATACAAAAAACAGGTTGCTTATATGTAAGCCAAATCTTAGCAAGATCTCACAGCACTATATATATGTATATAGTTAGAATCGATCGAAAAATGAGTTTTTGCATGGCAAAATAATCTGTTCTTCGAGATATTATTTCTTTCTTTAGTTTCTTACATGTCTGCAATAGCGTAAGGCAAATGGCTACAAGGGTATTAAGTATTCGGCGTGCCGCAGATATCGTTTCTTACTCCTCTTTGAGTCAAATTTTCGTTTAGCATATCAAATATATTATATAATATTTATAATAAATACAATTATGGCAAAGTATTGGAGCTATATAATTGACCGACTATTCTTCGATAGAGTTTTGCCTGTATTTAACCGAATATATACACAGTTATAAACATACACATAAACATATCGGTTTAAGCCTAATTGGGAATTAGGGAATTTGTTATTCCCGATCTGTGGCCTCCAACAAATCCTGCGCGAAGAGACAGGTTTAAGGATTGATACCAATTGCGCTGTCATCGCATCTGCATTTGAGTTCTTAGCTGACATAATTGGATAGTTCGGCTGGAAGGAGCCACCCACGAGTGGAATTTTATGCGATATCGGGCAGACAATCTGTGCCGACAATGCTGCAGCACAACAATTTTCCCAATGCTGTAAACAAGCTGTCAAATCAAGAAAAAAGGCCGTGGGAAAAAAAAGCAGAAAACTAAAACAAAAATCGGCTGCAAATAAGAGAAAAACAACAGGAAAATTCGACAAATGCGGCTGCAGGCATATGGAGACCAGTTTCGGGGAGAGGAAGATGGGTGTGGGGCTGAGGTGTTTGAGGGGGGCGGGGGGGGTTGATTTGCAGCGCATTATGGAAAATGACATGGACACGCGTTTTGATGGGCAAAGATGTCGCGACTTTATATCGCCAATCAGATACAGATACGGATACAGATACATTTACAGATACGGATACAGATACAGATACAAACTTTGTACTTACGCGCTAATACGGCTCAGGCATAAATTAGTTTGAATGCAAAACTCACCTGCGAAAGAAAAGAAGGCAAAAGAAATGACATTAATTCAATTTGTTGCATTGCAATTTGTGCTTAAACAACAACAACAACAACAACAACAAGAATAACATTAAGCGAGAGGGAGAGAGAAAATAATTAAAAACTTTCCGGCAACATTTTGAAAATTGTTTTGAGGCTCCCAAAGGCCATTGACGGGGTCAAGAAATTGGCATTCTAAGGGCCGGCCACCTACCCTTAAGGCTGCTGTAGCTTAAAAAAATATATATTTTTACGATGAAGCCCCGCCGCCGTCCCGTAAACAAAAACAACAAAACGCCCGAGGCGGGGTATTGTTGCTAGGTAGCTGGCGTTGTAGATGGGGGCATAGGGGGGAGAGGGGGTTGGGGGTGTTCGACTCGGACAGCACAGGACAACTGTAGCCTGTAATTAAATAATGCCCATGCCTACTTCCGGCCAACAGCAGCAGCAACAAAAAGATACAAAAGTATCTTAACGGCATGCGGCGCCATTCGAAGTTGAAGTAGCAACAAAAATATATATATAGACGTATGTGCGGCAGCAGCACGCGAGCGGAGGGAAGCTGTTTGCTGTCTGGACAGCGCAAAATAAAAAAAAGCTAGGAGGCAAATAGAGCGGAGGCAGCGCGAGGGAGCGCAACACACGCCAAACTATTGCTCCCCTAGGATAAATTAATAAATTTTCTAGCGAAAGTTGCCACAGGCGAGCGGGAGGGAGAGGGCGAGAGGGGGAGAGGGAGAGAGAGAAAGGGACGGCAAGAGTGGAGTCAACAAATAAACAAATAATCGTGGCTAACAGCGCAAAAAAAAAGTAAAAATAAAAAAAGAAGAATAACAAAACAAGAGTCGCGACTAGTGGATACCCTGGAACGCTCTGCCGCACACACAGTTATCGGTTGCCGGACAAACAAACTTGTACTAGGGAGGAAGCACTAGGAGGATCTACGTTCAAAATTTCAAGTCTCTAGCTCTTAAAGGATCTGAGATCAACGCGTTCGTACATACGGACGGACAGACGGGGGGAGAGACAGGCGAGGGGACAGACGGAGGGGCGGACGGACAGAAGGGCGACTTGGCTATTGATGCTGATCAAGAATATATATACTTTATGAGCTCGTAGACGTATCCTTCTGCCTGTTACATACATTTGCACAAAAACATTATACCCCTTTTACCCGTTTTTAATGGGTGGAGGGTATACAAATTTTCATCTTGCTGAATGGCAAAGAATTTTGAATACCCCTACTGAAACAGAACTAGAAATAAAACAATAAAATCAAATAAAATATTAGGTAAATCTTCGAATAGTGCATTTACTTGGCATATTTTAGAATCTTTTGATGAATATTATATTAATATTTCTTATAAGAAAAATATTAAATATTAAAAAAAAAATTCATTAATATTCATCAAAAATATTTCTTATAGGAACAATATTAAATATTGCACCTAAAATGCATAAAAATTCATCAAAGATTTAAAAATATTC